CCCGGCGCCCCGGGGGCCCCTCGCCCAGACGCGGCCGGCGCGGGGGGGACGGGCAGGTCCGGGCGCTCTCTGGAGCGGGCGGCCCATGGGAAAAGGGGAGCGCGGCCCCTCCCGAGCCGCGGGCGGTCCGGCCTGGCCGGGGACCCAGGGTGCTTGGGGGGTGCAGTGGGGAACATGCAGTGGGGGCAAGCATGCAAGGCTGCATTAAGGGCTGGGGGCTGCAGCAAGCGGTGCCATGCAACGAGCTGCTCCAGGTGCTGCAACGAGCTTTGCTGCGGCCGGCGCTGCAGCCAGCCATGCCTGGCATTACACYGTGCAATGCCTGGTGCTGCACGGAGCTGCGCCAAGCCCTGCCCTGAGCTRCACGGAGCAGGGCCGAGCGGTGCCCGGAGCTGCATGGAGCAAGGGCTGGTCCTGCACGGAGCGGTGCTGAGCGGTGCCCGGTGCTGCACCGAACAGGGCTGAGCAGTGCCCGGTGCTGCACGGAGTGGTGCCTGGTGCTGCAGCGAGCAATGGCTGGTGCTGCATGGAGCGGGGCCGAGCAGTGCCCGGTGCTGCACGGAGCGGTGCTGAGCGGTGCCCGGTGCTGCACCGAGAGGTGCTGAGCAGTGCCCAGTGCTGCATGGAGCAGGGCCAAGCGGTGCCCGGTGCTGCACGGAGCGGTGCTGAGCGGTGCCCAGTGCTGCACCGAGAGGTGCTGAGCAGTGCCCGGTGCTGCATGGAGCAGGGCCAAGTGGTGCCCGGTGCTGCACGGAGCAGGGCCAAACGGTGCCCGGTGCTGCACGGAGCAAGGGCTGGTGTTGCACGGAGCGAGGCTGAGCGGTGCCCAGTGCTGCACCGAGTGGTGCTGAGCGGTGCCCGGTGTTGCACGGAGCTCTCCGGTGCCGTGCCCGGTGCTGCCCCGCGCTGCACTCGCTGCCGCCCGGGGCCGTGCCGCAGCACGCTTGGCGCTGCGCCGAACCGTGCCGGGCGCCGCGCGGTGCCAAGCGGGAGGGCCGGCGGCCGCCCGGCTCCGCGCAGCCGCTGCCGGCCGCGCCGGGGCGCCAGGCTGGGGGGGGAGGGCGGACGTGCCCCCTCTTGCCCGGCGAGGGGCGGCGCGGCCGGCGCCCCCCCGGCGCAGGGGCCCATCCCCGCGCGGCCGCTCCCTGCGCTTGGGCGCCCGCCAGCTGGGGCTGCCTCGGCAGGCGGCTGGGAAGGAGCCGCCGGCTGCGGAGCCGCCCCAGCCGCCGCCGAGCAGGCCCGACCGGCAGGGCAGGCGGCAGCCGCCCCCGAAACCGGGAGCCGGGCACTGCTGCCCCCCCACCCCCGTGCCCCCTCCCTGGCCACCCAGCGCYGCGCCCGGACGCCTGGGTCCCTCGCGGCCCGCGGGGGCGAGCGGCTTAGGGCCGATTAAGCCATCAGGCCCCCGGGAGCCAACAGGCGGTGACAGCCCCCGATGGGATTAGGGGGGATTAGCGGCGCTGGGGGGGGGGATTAGGGGACACGGGGTTGCGGGGGCACCGTGCGCCCTGCTCCAGGGGCCCCCCCCGTTGCCGCRGTGCATCCAGGCCCGGCCACTCTTCCCGCGCCGCGATGCTGCAGCCGCGGATGCTCCGGGGCCATCGCCGCTGGCACCGCTGGCTGCGCCCGGGGCCGGGACAAGGGGGCACGCGGGACCCCGGGCGGGCGCCGGATGCCGGCGGGGGGCAGGAGCCGGGCGGGGGCGAGGAGGCGGCGGCGGGGGGGGATTTTCCATCGCACCCAACCGCCGCCGTCCCCCCCGCGCATCCTCCCCGCTGGAGCGCAGTCACATGCTGAGCGGGTGCCGCCATCGGGGCGATCGCAGCGCGATAAGGAAGCGGCGGGGGGGCAGGTGTGAAGGGCCGGGACCCCCCGCCCGCCCGGCTCCGCCGGGACCCCAGGACGGGCCCCTCGGCCACCCCAGAGCAGCCGCAGGGCCTGTGCGTGGCGGGGGGATTCGCCCCCCCAAAGCCAGCAGGTGCTTGGGGTGMAGGGCCCCCCCAGATTGGGGGGGAAGAGGAGAGCCCCACAAAGGAAATGGGTTGAAAAGGGGGAGAGAGAGCGGATAAACAGCCCCCCCGGCYGCCCCACCGCCACCCAGCTGCTGCRGTGGCACCGAGGGCCAGCAGCAGCCGTGGGCACCGTGCTGGGCACGGAGGTGCCACATGCAGCGCCCAGCGCAGCTCCCTCTCCCCGTGGCAGCCCCTGCATTGGTGGCGAGCGGGCAGTGCCGCGGAGAGCGGTGCCCCGTCCCGTCCCATCCCGTCCCGCTCACCTGGCGCCTGTGCCCGCGTGGCCGGCGCGGGGCCCCGGGGCGCACGGTGGTGGTG